TATACCTCAGCTTGAGCAAGTGCATCGGTTTAGTGTTTAGTCGTAATACTTGTTATGTAAAAACATACATACTAAGATACCTATAATATGTGTATACGTATATAGGTATATTGGCAGCGTGAGGCGAAGGGAGCAAGCGGTGTACATGCGAGAGAAAGAGAGACAGAGCAGTAGACATAGAGTGGCGCGTGCTGCGAAACAGAGGGACGGAGCAAGAAGGAGAGTATGTAAGAGAGGAGATTAAGGAGACGGTTTGGGCCACAGGATGGGTAGCTACGTTTTTTTACAAAGCATTTCCCCTCACCCAGCTGTTGATGGCCCAATATAAGAAGTTTCACTTCAATAAATCAACTACTTATCATATTACACCATGCTGTTTCGGTTGTTGTAATAAAAACTGTGCTAACTATTAAGAGAATCTAAGTGACAAGCGTACTTTTGATACGTCAAATGTAAACAATTTCTTAACGTACAACCTGTAAGCTAATTTTGAAGGACGTTTACCACACAAAGCATTATCTGTAGGGTCTTCCTAATATTTCAGCAGGATTTTTGTAATAATGTTGAAATGTCACGAGTAAAATTTAAGACCGTTTCACAACTTATTGATACAAAAAGTTTAAAAAACTTCAATTTACCACGTAGCCGCATGAAAGACTCACGTACAAATAGAATTTATGAGAAAATGGTGTGTAGAATCAGTCAAATTTTTTTTTATGACGTTATACCATAAAACTAATGGCATAACAAATTTTCAGAAGAATCGACAAGTAATAAGTGCAATAAAATACAAAAAAAAACAGGTTCAGCTGCATGTACATAGGTATACTCGTCCATGCAAAACAGTTGCCAGTGCTGATGCACCTTTACTCCTCCGTCACTTATCTCTAGTTTTCCCCTGCTAGCTGTGATAAACGTCCTCAGCTCTCGTACTGTTTTATTGTTTTTTACTATTTATATACTGAAAAATCTCTAATAAACTAACATTTCTTTTTTTTCTTTCCCTTCTACACCTAATTTTTAGTATTCTGAAATTTTTATTTAAATGACTTAAACGTAGGTCTAGGTTTACTTTCAAAATAAATTTCATATATTTTCCTTACTACCCTGGCGGCAAATAGATTTGCTTTATACTTATAATTTAAACCAAATTGATACATTGTTCTTATTATTATTATTATTTTAATCAATCTATTAGAGACGTTTTTCTACAATTTTTGTAAGTATAAAGATTAGCCACGTATTTTTTAGACTTTTACGCAGTGAATTGTGATTTTGATTAAAAAAATATAAGTGAACTAAAAAATTTAGCCTTATTTATAATTCATTTAAATTCAAAATTTTTTTTGAGTCTAAGGACATTTATCCGTTTATGCTTCTTGTCATCACTATCAGAAAATTCTTAAAAAACCAGACATTTTCATATTTCTTGATTGTCCACCTGGATCTACATGTCGTAAAGCAGTAAAAATAATTTTAAATAACTTAAAGATATTTACAAGCTACATTAAAATATTGGATCAGGGAAAAAGTAATTTCAGTTTTTTAATGTTTTGCAAAGCAAATTTATTCATATCAATTTCAAATACTACTCTACGATATAGGTGCCGTTTTAATCAATGACCTTTTGCCAGTTTTCTAGTACAACCATAATTCTGTCTTTAAAACTTTTAAGGTTTCTGGGCAAAAAATTGAATCAAGTGATTTTCGCAAGCTTCTTTTTTTTCACCCACTGCAATCACATTAGTCATTGACAGTTAAGAGTCAAATTAACTGTTTGACCACGTTCAAGCAGCTGATGATGAAAAATCACCGTCCTTGGCATCAATACAGGCTTTGCACCTGTCTGTTAAGCTTCCCCAGGCTTCAACTTCAACCTTTTTAGCAATCATTTGTTTAAAAAATGGCTTAAGTTCGTTTCGTTAGAGCAGCGATTTATAAATGAAAACTCGGTCCATCAAATTTTTCTCTATTAATTCGTAAAGAACCCGAGTATCAAGCTTTTTTTAGTATCCAGCCTAATGTCAATGTTTTAAAATTGTTTCATGGTCAATTTTTAGTTTTATAGCCATGTCGTAAGATGCAATATATCGGTTTACCTTGATTTTTAAAGAATTATATATATTTTTCCAACGATTATCTGACTAGGGTAATTTTTTTTTTCATCTCTAGCATCGAAATTTTCAGAACAAAAACGAGCAAACTAACTCTGACACTGGTGTTCACTTAAAAAATCATCACTATAAACACTACACAATTTTTAATGAGCCTGTGCTGCATTTTTCTTTTTCGAAAGTAAAAAAGCAAGATATGACAAAAATGACCTTCTAGAATCTTGATTTTCAAAGTGCAATAAGTTTCGTCTAAGTACGCGAATGGCACTACTCTTATATCGTTAATGTTATACCAATAACAAAAATCATACACTCTATTATTTTCAAGAGATGATTTCATTTAGAACAGCATATGCAGATAATTAAAAAAAATGTTAACACATCTTTAATTTTTTTTTTAGTTAGTAATAATTTAAAATGTACATGGTGGATAAAATTTACATAGTATGCTTTTCAAATAATGTGTTAAGAAATATTTTGCAGTACAGCTGTCCTAAAAACATCCTTGGAGTACTTAGTGTCAACGAATCAAAATTTTTTTTTATTATTTTTGTTCTGACTGACATGTTTGTATGCTGTATATATTAAGCAGCCTCAATAAAATCTATAATTCTCTTACTATACTAAAAATTTTTGACTGAAGCTGCTTGTACAGCAAAAAAATTAAAAGTCACTTTCGAGCTAGAAATGACGTAACTTAGTTGTTGTACACACCGTCACTGGGACGTAAAATAAAAAATTAGGTGATCAAAGAGCACGTTTGTTGAACGTATGAGTCTAAGTCACACATAATGTTTTTCTTATCAAGGGCATGAAGCAACATTTTACGACCGTAAACACACTTAGCGTCACAGGAAGTAAATATTCCCGTCCACTGCGCAGAGGAAGATATTTACTTCTCAGCCGGTGATGCATAAAAAATTGTGAACACATCACGGTAAGAAGTAAAGAAATCTTAAATTATCCGTTTATCGTCCTTTGCTTCGCCTTAGACCACAATACACAGACGATCTGAGACCCATGATTTTTTTTTATTTCTATATACTGTTTTCCATTACTGCGCACAGGACCGTGTGTTTTGACCGGAGCTGACATGCAGTATCAGCAGCCCCAAGGAACCAGAAGTTCATGAAAATGTGGGTAAGTTCGATTTGTATATATATGCAGTGACCGTAATGTACGCAAGGTACATCAGACAGTAAAAACGACGCGTTTACGGACCCCTCACACCGAATTAGTAGCTTCTTGCGCCGGGATTTAGCAGCTAGTCAACACGTTGCTAGCGGTGACTCAGGTCGTGAGGCGCACTTCGTGATCTCCTTGAGCAAACCGGGTAATGATTACGGGTTCGTGGTCAGTGGCCCCGGGCTTTGCGAGTAGTGGCTTTTTAGGAGCATTTTAGTGGCTCGTCGAAGGTGAGCCAGTGACATTATTATGGGGAAAAATCCATACCCTTGCAGGGTACTTTCGGCTACGGTACTAAGCACAGCGGTCGTACTAGAAAGGCTGGAACTACTCAATGGTATTCGTAGCGTTGTACTCAGGATGGTTGCGTGCGTGTACCAAGCTGATCGGGTACAACGTAACATTTAATATAATACAATAGAGGGACCTTCCGAAGTAAGATTAACGTTGGAAGCGGTTCAGGAGTTCACGTACATGTCAAAATTTAAAATAAAAAAAAAGGCCTAAAGTAGAAATGGTAGTTTTTGTATCCAATGGCAGATGTTAATAGGGCAAACACCAGACCCAAAGGACCTGCAAAGCAGGAGTCAAAGGACTTCTTATGTTTGCCGTGGTTGCATGCACATCAGGTGCGAACCCTATTTTTCCTACCGAGGGCACACTAAACCCTTAAAAACGCCTGACGTTAGATAAAGCCCTCTTTTCTACTTTAGGGAGCTTTTCCTGACATTAGGACGTTTACTGCTTAAAAATAAGTGTTCATCAAATTACTGATCTACTAGGGTTACACTTTTGCTTCTGGGGCTGAGAAATAGCCCTCATAGCCATAACACTTCTGTAATAAAAACCAGAGTTTGTACCATCAGAGCTATAAGACCTTAGTGCTTTCGTAATTACTTTGCAGGCTTAATGGACCCTCAGTAAAAAAATTTCGAGCTCAGGCACAAGCATACATCAACTACGTCTTTTAGGCAGGTTAGTTATACTTTGCGATCATTGTACGAAATAAACTATTTCTGCTTGTGAGTGAAAAGTGATTACAAAGGCATAAAGAATAACTGTTACTCTCCGCCTTCAAGATGCACTTTGTACCTTGTAATCATTTTTCCGTTTCAAGACTCACAGTGTACTAACGTGCACAAAATTGCATTTTTGCACCCTGGGTAAAAAAAACAAGATGCACAACTTGAGCGAAAACCTACAAAAACCCTGTCATTGGACACTTAAGTTTGTACTTTACGATTTAGTTTTGCAATGTACTATTTTATACCTGGTCGTCCATGCCACTAGAGCAAGTACGCGGCTTCTTGTACTTGCCCTAGTTGAATGTACACCAGCAGCGAAAAAAGTGTTATCCAGTGAATGCATAGGAAACACTTAAAGATAAAAAAATACCTGAAGTAGGAAAAAACATTGACTGTTTGTTTCAAAAAATCCTGTTTTCAAAAGCTCAAAGATAGTGTGTCGTAAAAAACGGCTAAGGAAGTATCAGAATTATATAGGAAGATAATAAAAAATTTGGAAAAAATAGTATTAAGAATTTGTTAAATTTATACTCTCATGATTTTACTAGTAAGTGAGCACGTAACTCTTAATAAATTATATTAAAGTATTACAACAATAGCACTTATTGTATAGATAAATTGAGTGGTTTAGTCGTTTGACTATTTACATGTGTAAATATAAGACATTTTTTAATACCTGGAGCATTTGATTTCTTGTAGCAATTAGCAGCATCAATATAGTTGGAAGCAGCATCATGTCTGCTCCCAGCTTTAGAATTAAGATCAGCTGCTTGGCAAAAAGAGTTTCCAGCTTCATTCCATTTTTTTGACATTTTAAAAAGATTTGCAGCTCTTTGATAAGCTTCGACAGCTTCTTCAATTTTTGATGAACTGCTGTAATAGTAAATCAAGAATTTCGTGAACTGTTTATAATAATTCACATGTTTAAAAAACTGTTGGTAATAACTATTTCAAATTTAAATACATAGCTGTATTGAAGTATATACTTCACATACAAAAGAAATTTAAAAATAGTTTTTGTCACAGAATCCCTTATACCACCGGGGCTATTTTGTGGCCAGAGGAATTGCAGAGTAGTCTCGGTTGGATGCTGCTTAAATGTTGAATAATATGTTTCCTATTGAATACACAGTAAACGTTTAAACGTAATAATAAACGGCCCGAGATGAGAAAACTAATTTCGTGAGGAAGAATACGGTTGTTACTAGTCTTTAAAACTACATCTCACAGGACATGCACAATATTTTTAACAGACGTTTTTACTATCACTTTATTCTCTGTAAACTGAGAAAACACTTAACTAAAGAGCCTATATTTCAAATTTTTTAATAGTGTTTAACATTCTATTATGATCTTAGTGAGACGCATGTGATACAGCTTTACAGGACTCTTCAGGATTGTTATCACTTCTTTTATGGTGTCATGTTTCTCATAGTACTCCTAATTCTACACTGCCTGCATTGAGATTGGAAACCTTAAGTAGTTCTACAATACTTACTGGACAGTCTTCTTAGGTAATAAATACACTACTATCTATTTAGTAACTCTAGAAGCAACTTTACTTTTGCCCTATTTTATCCACAATACGGCTCTACCACCACTCATAATAATGCGTTTTTTATCTCCACCATATATCTGAAAAACATCCTCCTGTTTTACTGTAGTCCTGTTGACGTACAAGATGTCACTACTAAAAATATTTGAACATGGCAAAAATACGGACTAGCACAAGCAATTCATAAAAAAGGGTCTACAAGTTACGATGTATTTACTTCCATCTGCTACTGTACAAAAGTCTAAGTAAACCACATATGCATAGGTTTGTTCATAAACTAGTCTTAGAATTTGTCCAGTATTCACACTTTGATAACCCTTGCATTTACAAAACGATCACTATACTTCTGTCATCCAATTGATAACCTCATATATTTCAAAGCTATTTTTCTCAAATTGAGTGTTTATCTTAACATGCGAATGTTCTGGTGGATACCACGCTTTTCTGTACGAAGCCACTATTCGACCATTTTTTCTCTTGTGTTTAGAGCATCAAGATATTACTACTAGAGTAGGAGAATCATTACCTAATGCATAAGTGGAGAAGTCCAGGTTGAAAAGAAAGACAAACAATGAAAATGCTCACCTTTTACATAAAAGAAAGTGCCGAGCACGTTAATAACTTGATACAAAAATTGTTAGATGTAATAGAAACTGAATGAAAAATTTATTTATTAGATTATAATAATATAACTAATAGTGCTTTGTGGGTGTAATAAGTGTAACTAATAATAACTGATTGAATAAATACAATAATCTAGTATTTCCCAAAAACGTGATACATTTAGTGAGTTTTTTAATTTCTTTGATACGAGTATCTAAAAACAACTTTGTTAGACATAAATAACGAAACAATACGGAGTAATTTTTTCTTTTCAAAAAACATTATTAATTAATTTAACCTTAAAAATAGTTACACGAGTATATAGTTGTCTACTCATGTACTTTTTATCATTTTAAATGTGACTTTTATGTTAAAGCCACATAATAATGTACATCTAAATGACTAGACAAATAATGTTTTGACAATGATTACAAAGACATTTTTGCTCTACAGTATAACTATTTGTATAAAGGCCAGTGAGAGGGATGATTTTTAATGTTACCGTCATTAATAGAAGACAAAAATTCTGGTGAAATAATGCATACTTATTTTGTTTTTTTATTTTTCTAATACAGTTACAAACTTTAACAATGTCTGTAAAAGTAAAATTTAATGTACCCTTAATTTTCAATATCAACCGTTTAGCTAAATCAGAAAATGCACGACTTTTTTTCGGTAATTCAAATAAAACATGTTCAATTCAAATTCAATTACTAAAGCAAAACGAGAAAATTTATTTTTTAAAGCAGTTCCAACACTCTTATTGTCCCTAATACTATTATCAAAAAGTGCGACTAGGAATGTTACGTAAACTTTTTCATGCTCATGGCATTCCACTGGGTTTTGTAACACTTTTGAAACATTACTCTGCTTTAACTTCTCTTCAGCTGTACTGTCCCAACTTTTGCTCACTATCATCAGAATTATTGATTGGACTGTCTTAGAAATCAATATCTGCTGGTAGCATGCATTTTTGAGTGTTGTTGTATCAAAAATGCCTTTTTTTACTTGAGATGTTTTAACAACCGTGTTTCTGATGGATTCTGATAGTCAACGTTATAGCTGTTACTAATATCAATTTTAAATTCATGCAGATGTCGACTATTTTCATTTTATAAACAATACAGATATTTATCGAAAGTTTAAGCTTTACATAAATTACAAGATGTGCATAGATTTGTTACATCGATTAATGGTGATCCTGTATTTTGAATATTGGGTACTTTATCTGATTTCAGTTGTCTGAGTGCTTACTAAAGCAAAATGAACTGGTGTCGAAATTGTCACTGCAGATCTTTTTATTTTTTGCAACTTTTTGAGTCTAAGGACATTTATCCGTTTATGCTTCTTGTCATCACTATCAGAAAATTCTTAAAAAACCAGACATTTTCATATTTCTTGATTGTCCAGTTTTGTAAGTATAATAGTTGAAAGTAAGAGGTAGTAACATAGGCTCTTAGGTAAATACCGTAACATTTAATGTTAATCACTTTTAAAACGTGATTCGTTAATCATACGAGATTTAGAATGTGTGCACAGAAAATTATAACAAACATAGAGAAAAGAAACCAGTTGGTTAGTAAGTGCTCGGGTACCCAAGTAAAAAGTCATACCAAACAATATATAAATGAAAAAAACCTTACATAAATGTTATATTGAACAACCCACTGCATTGTATCGAAGGGGGTGCCGTTTGAATAAAAGTTCACGGTAAATGGGAAAGGTATTAATGAATATTTTAATATTTAATAAACTTAAAACTATAAAAAATATACAACATAGATAAGAACAGTTTGAATGAAAGCCATATTACGACGTGCTGCTGGACTGGCCAGTACATGATTGTTCAAAATAACTTTCTGCCGCCGATGCGGATTACATCTTTAACCTCATGCCACATCTGTCACATACGCTCACACACTCATTTCTGAGTGAATGTCGCAGCAGGAAGTTCATTACACGTAGATTTTTTTGATAGACAGTATTGAAACATTTAACGTGTATTCATTGCAGCACACAAAATACCAACAAAAAATTGCAAATCAAGAAACTGTCTCGTTTTTTAAATGTTTAATTTGAAAAAAATCTGAATTTAACGTGTCACTGTACGAAGGAGTAAATAAAATTGCATTTATAAGAAAATGAACAGTAGAAATTTCCTAAGCTCTTTTAGAATGACATATAACTATGAGATCAAGCTATTAAATTTTTAAATGAACAAGTTAACTTTAAATAAAATGAGAAAGAAGGGGTTCAACATGCATTATAGCGTATATATAGGTATACCCGTGTAAGAAAAGTAATTGGTAGTGTTGCTGCATGTTTGCGCTCCTATTATCTCTCTGAACTTTTACTCCACTAACTGTAATGAATGTTTTTAAATCAAAAAATCTCCTTAGCCGTGAATAAAAAAATTGTGATGAAATAAAACAAAATATAAATCGATAAATGTATTAATGGAATCTTGTAAGAATAAACGCTTAATAAAATAAAAGAGAATTTGTTAAATTTATACTCTCATGATTTTACTAGTAAGTGAGCACGTAACTCTTAATAAATTATATTAAAGTATTACAACAATAGCACTTATTGTATAGATAAATTGAGTGGTTTAGTCGTTTGACTATTTACANGATAAATGTATTAATGGAATCTTGTAAGAATAAACGCTTAATAAAATAAAAGATGGGAATAATAAATATTTAAATGAAAAAATAAGTTACAAACTACACTAAAATAATGGAAAAGAAGTCACTTATCATTAGGACCAACATAACATCTCGTTTCTAGTCCTACCAGTTGATAATAGTATTACGTTTAAACTTTTAAATAAAAGGCGGAACTAATCTATGAATAATGGTAGTTTTCCTACGAGTTTGAAAAGTCTTTGTTTGCGAACCGAGAGGTTTGCGGCCCGAGCCGAAGGCGAGGTCCGTAACGAGGTTCGTAAAGGAGACTTTTCGAACGAGTTCCGGAAAACTGCTTTTTCGCCCGAGGAAGTACCAGCCTCCCAAAACCACCCGAGGGCGGAAAATAAATTTAATTTTTGATCGTCAGGAATCAACCGTAAGTTCAAAGGCTTTATTTGCTCTTTCTTAAAGTATACTTTTCTTTTAAATCGTTGACTTGGCGTTGTGGTGTTAGATTTTACTGAATGGTGTGTATGGAGTGATGTTAGTGTGTCGTGAACCAAGCTGACGTTGACTTACTGCTTTAATTTTTATCTTACGTAATGCAGTGGTAGTGTGTTTTGTTCGTCTCCTTGTCTCACGTCCTTATAAAAGTCTTTGTCATACGTTATCTGCATGATTTTGATTGGTATTTAATTCCTTCATCAAAGCTAAAATTATGTTTCTGTCAATTAAAATTTTGAACCTTAAAATATTTGAATTAAGAAAGTAAATTTGAGTAAACAAATTTGGTGAAGCGAGAAAAAATCAATTTTTACAAGTAAAATGAATTAAAAGGTTTTAAGTTCAGATTTACAGTATTTAACAATTTGGAGTTTTTCTTAATTTAACATAATAGTTGATCAGTTGCTGCTTGCGTGTATTAGTTGCAAGATCTTACAAGCTTGACCGTAACGGTGAATCTAATCCCTGCACAAGAGTATTCGTGGCTAGATGATAATTAGGCTTCTGCTTTTAACATCGGAATCCAAGTCGACGGTCCTTTCTTCCCAACATGACACATTTAAGTCTATAAAAAAACT